CTCCACTAGATATATTATATTTATATATATAGTTCCGACTCGGGGTGATGATGTACGTGGCAGGAGTCGGTGGTTGCTAAGGTGGTGGTGGTGGCTGGCTGGAAAGTTTGATCCCACGTCGAGGAATGCGTCAAGTACTACAATTATATTATATTAATAATAATTGTCACGGCCTGATGGCTAGGTGGGCGTGGTAGGGGTACTCGTGCCTCTAAGCCTGCCATGCAATCGAACGGAATCGATCGACCGGTACTTGAACTGACGCCACCATCGATATATCCATCGGTGATATATTATATGGAATCAGTGAAAAATCCCATATTAAAGTGCAGTTCACATGTTTGAATCACAATAATATATATTTTTAATTTATTTTTCATATTCCCAAGTAGAATATATTTCCGATAATTTCATTATATAAAATTGAAATTTTATATAATTTCATAGTATAAAATTGAAATTTTAAACAAGAGGAGTAGTAGACATAAATATTCAATTTTAGAAGAGTGTTGTAGTGACTGGTGAACCAACATTTTTCATTGTATTATATACTTTATACTGTATATACTTACAACCTACTTATATTAGCCTAAAGGTACAATTGTTGATGGTTCAAGAAAAAAGTAAATTTTGTAATGCCCAATTAAGGTTTGTGTAAATACATTACTTTGGGTTGATAATATTATGTAACTACCGTAGGTATGTAATGGTTTTAAATGTGTCTGAACGTATTGTTCTGTACGCGAAATAAAGCTATTATATTATTATGTATATAAGTATATTTACTACGTCTACCCCAAATAATATTGTGAATTTTATTCGTTTGAGAATCCAAAATGATTGTGAGCTAATTAAAATCGTCCTACCTTAATTATATCCAACACCAAATGCATCATCTTAGTAGAGAATATTAAAATATTCATGTCGTACTGTAATACGTACAGGTACAATAATAATTAGTCGTATTACCAATAAATTATAACCACCTATATACGTGTGAATGGAAAACATTAATTATTCTTAGTCATCTTAAGAAATATACGTACAATAATTAGGAAACGTTATCAAGCACAAACAAAATAAAAAACCATAGCACGGTACTCAATATTTTTTCTCTAAAAGGAAAACCTATAAATCATAAATATGTTTTTGTTAATAAGAAGCCATGACAACGAAAACCTTACCAAAAATCAGTCCTAAAAAATATTTAATACAAATGAAATTGTTTTAATACAAATATTGAAATATTATGCTGATAAGCAAACATTTAGGTATAGTAATCTGGAATTGATAATGTTTGATATATTTATATATATATTTTACATTTACAAGAATGACAATTGGTTTTAGCAAATGTAAATAACTGACTTACAGAATATTATATTTGTTTTTTTTTTTTTTGTAAATCGGTTATAAAGTTCAAGAAAATTGAAGTGTATATCAAATATTTTTAGACATTATATTATAATTTATAAGTAACTAAAATTTTATTATTTTATGAGTTCTGAAATTTGTTTTTCCATTTGTTATTTTATTAAATATAATATTATGCAATAGCTATACCAATGAATGAAAATAATATGAATTATAATTCGAAAAATAAACCTTTTACTCAAGTTACAACATAAAATTCCACAAGTTTATTTAAGCATATAACGTAATAGAATATAACTTTCATTCATATTTCTTTTAATATTAAAGATTTATTTAAGAACTAGGGTCATTATCTACTTATATACTGTTATTGAGTAAGATTGATGTTGACTAAAATTCTTAGATCTCATATATTAATCCTTTATCCTACCTATACAGTCCCCATTGTATTTCGGCCATTATTTTCTGTTTATCTTTTTTTTTCTTAAAGACCCACAAACATCATTCATATTTCTTTTTACAATTTATTACCTTTCTCATCAATGATTTATCTCTGAAAGTTAGTTATTTTCACACTCTATACATAAAACAAATTATTAGCCACTTCCTTAACAATATATTTTAAGAAAATATTTCGTATAAGTTGAACAAGAACTATCAAAAACAAAAACTGAAGGTGTCCATAGAATTTTAATCGATCCGTTGATTGTAATTTAAATTACAATTTATGTCAACGAGTACTGAATTATAAAATTTATAACTTAAAATGTATTTAATACATATTATTATCAATGAATTAACGTTTGTTACGATCATATTTTTACGTGAAAAACAGCAGAATGAAACATATTTAATGACACAGTTCTATTCTTTTCACAACTACTATCAAGTAGGTACATATTGACCGATTTCGGACATAACAACTCGTCGACATTTGGATAGCGAAGCGAGAATACTTACCCTAACGGTCGTCACCACGATCAGAAATAGATTTGAAACTAGGTCTAAAGTCTGGACACAAGAAACAATATAATAATATTTTCTTCGATGGAAAAAAAAACCCGTAAACCGATCTTTGCAGGTGTACTGAAGTTTTACGAGAGAACACACGCACATACTCACAAATATAAATATATATATTATAAAAATATAAGATAATATACAATAATATATAATGTATTGTGTATCCACCGTTTTGCACGTGTAGCGAGTGTTGTACACGTGTGTTGCGGAGTATTATTATGTAGTACATCCCTAAGAGGAGCTCGTTTCGAAGAGGATATTATAAAACATATCATGCAAGTCGAATTGAATTCACGATTACCGTCGCTGTCTTGCCTTAAAGGTCACGCGTGTCAGTGTGTCACACGGCGGTGGACGGGTTGGGTGGGAGTTTTTGAGATTTTGGAAGAAAGGTATTAAGGGCCGCAGCCGATCTAAAGAAGAAGACTGTGTAGAATATGGGTGGTGGGTGTCTCAGCACAACATAATATTCACTGGTAACACGCGTATGATGCAAGCGGTGAATATCAATTATTATTATTATTATTATTATTACTGGTATTGTTTCGTCGTCACCGTGGCGTCAGCGCGCAGTCGCATGGCCGCACGGCACCACAGAAGCCAACCGGAAATAAGGGGTAAAGATTTCAGGGGAAATGTTGATGGGTGGGAGGTGGTTCCGGTATAGTTATTTGGATTCTCTTTATCTCCCCTCCCTCCCATCACTCACCCCAAACAATCTGCTCGACAACCTTTGTGCGCCTTGTATTAGTATACTGTACGGTTTTGTTACGCTGAATTACCTATTATTTGTATTATTACTATAAATAAAAATATTACACGTGTGTCACGTGGCTTTTAAAATGACAGGATATATTATATTACTAAACTTATATTTTTTTTTGTATTTCTGTTTTAAATATAAAGTTTTTTATACCACACTATATACACTCAAAGACACATAAAATATTGCACAATGACAGGTAAACGCAGATAAACGGCGATTCGAAATAATATAGAGTCGTAATAAATTGTGTATAACTTATAGTACTCAGAGTCGTGTCTTCCAAGAATCCGTCTAACCAGTACTATTTGTATTAAATTAACTTTTATGCTGTCGCAGTATACAATCGAACGCGATTGTGCAAAACTGAATTTTTCACCATCTTGCCGCAATGCAGTCTTCGAATATTTAACGAGTTTTAGATTCTGAGAGGAATGATGAATATATTGGTTTTACAATGATGCCCAAAGGTTCTTATGTGTCTGTCATCTTTTGAACTAGTACAACAATTTTCCACTTTCAGGGTTGTTTCTGGTAGATAATTTGATCTAACCAGTTTTAGGTGTGTAGTGGAGAGGAAGGTAAGACATAAATAGTAAATTTTCAAAGAACTTTTCAATAAAATCAGGAATAACAGAAAACATATTACTGTAAAATAGGTAACATTTACTTAAAAAACAATTTTTCAAAAACTTTGGTATTTTTGTTGTAACTTCAAGAAACTTGAAATATTCAATAAACATTTATATTTAATTGTATGGCATGATATAATAATACCAGAGAATCAATACTTATAGTATAATACAGTTGGAAGTATTGTAGACGCACAAGGGATTTAACACAACAAATTTGACCTTAGCATAAACGATTTTGTGTTGGTAGATTTAATATTAATAGTAAGTTAAGTGTATGTAAAATATTGAAAATTAAAAAATCGTAAAAATCGACGTATAAACAGTAAACATAGATAATATTCTTACATTTTGAATTTTATGAATAGTTAACACATTTTAATATTAAAGCTAAAATTCAATGTTGATTCTAATGAACTCAAAATGATTGCTATGTTGTACGCGTCTGTATGACGGAGACAGTACATTGCGTCCTTTTAAGAGGTGTAAGACAGGACAACTTTACTGAAACAGTGACAGTGGTGTAGCGATATTGCCTATACATGACGCCGTGTATAATAGTTAAAATAAAAACCCATGGGTAATTTATAATAAAAACCGAAACCGTATTTTGTCTATGTTGATGACAGTAAGGTCATGGAAATACGTGAATTCATTTTTTTAAATTATAAAATTGTATTAATTATTTTTCGCTTTAATTGTTTTATTTGTCACTGTTTTTAATTCCACTTTTTGAGAACTCTAATTTGACAACTACTATGATAATCTTTATATTTGAAGATATTTTTGGACTAAGTATAAAATCGTAATACATAACAATTTGACTTAAAGGCGTAACATACGTATTGATTTTTGCCCGGTATACGCTTATTTCAGTAATAAAAAACAATAATTGCTATTGTAAATATTATCATTGTAAGTTTACATCTGTAAATAAGAATAATATTAAAACATTATTAGATAGCTGACAGCCACAGCTGATAGCTACTTAAGCTATAGTTAAGCAAAATGAAGTATTAAATACTAGTGAAATCAAATATCTTCGGTATATAAACGTATTTTACAATAATATACATAATAATTACTATATCATACTCAATATCAAACATATAATTATAATATTATTTTGTATTATGTTTCCCAGCCATTTGTACACCAAAACCTAATCACCGTTGGGTTTCTGTCCGTTGTGTTGTGGATGCTGATGCATGTGGGAGAATGAAGGTGCCGACGTCGCGTCGTTGAACGGTGATAACATGACACAGATCACGCTGTCAGTGGTCGAGGAATGGCTGGACAGCCATCCGGACCACTGTCAGGACTACTTCCTCCGAAAAATCGAACTGGACTTGATCAACAAATGGCTCGTTTCACACGGATTCCTCAACATCAACGATTACATCTCGTCAGCCACGTCCACGTCTTCTTCGGGTAACGTGAGTCCAGCCAACGGGTTGGCAGTGCAGCAGGTGTCACCAGCCGCATCCCCGAACGCGCCCAGTATCCTGGTTAACGGCACCAACTCGCTGTCCGTATCCCAGATATACAGGTCCAACTCAAAGAGATGTCGGCGACACGACTTTGCCCGGGCCAAGACCCGGAGTGTATTGCGCACACAGGAGATCGGCAAGGACGTGCCGATTTGCTCCAGCAGGAGATCGTCGCTGAAGGACATGAGAAAGTGAGTACTATATCCGTAATACGTAGCATGCAGGGTGGGTCACCGCGTTTTCCCTTAACTCCGACATGGGACAGCAGGAACACTCGGTGGTTCTTCTTGCGTATATTATAATTATTGTCAGGTATATTTTGCATTTGCAATTATTACCATTACGAGCATTTATGTTATTGCATCATTTTCATAATATTTATATTAGTATATCCTTTTTCGAAAATGTTATAACTAAAACAATTTATCGTTTTTACATTTCACATAATACGGCTTAGTTTTACAATAAGCCATTAACATATGCATTATACATACATACAATAATTGCATCATTTTACGTAGTATTAATGGCATTTACTAGACTTGCCCGACTCGTTTTAAGTTTCAAACCAAAAAAAAATCATTATACCTTTAGTTTTTAAGATTTAAATATTAAACATAAGAAAAATATTATCATAGGTATAATATAAAATATATGATAATATCTGAAGAGAATAATATTAATAATAAATACATTATGAGTACCTTGTGATTAATTTTATGGGATTTTCGTAATTCTGTTGAACTATGTAACATAAAAATATGGGGTGTAAAGTAGAAAAATTTGAATAAATATTATATTCTATATTACTATAAAGTATAAAGTATATTCTAATTTACACCGTGATTTAATTTGTTGACAAAGCATCGGCAGGCAATAAGGTGTCCAATTGAAAGTTTTTAAATATGCAATCATATTTTGTTCATTTGATTTTACGTAATATATAGTATACCTTTACAACAAAAAGAAATTGTTTTGGTAACATAAAGTATATTTTCTGAAAATTGTTTGTGGCCATTTATTAAAATATAATAAGAAGAAAAATATAACGCCTTTCATATTATGAGTGACCTATATAAAAATTTTATCAAAAGTAAATACGTTAATGTTTTGTTTTGGAAAACTTTAGATTTTAAAGTACAATAATGTTCAAAAGAAACTGTTTTAAATATTGAAACACATGGTATATTAGGTAGGTAGATCATTATATATTAGGTGGATTATATAATATAGGGTGATGATTTTGGACACAATTGTAAGAACCATTATTATAAATATAATGTTTAATAATCATTATTATTACAAGAAAATCCATTAAAATAATATTTATTGTAAATTAAATTAAATTGAGTTTTAAATAAAATTAACTTTATTTATGTTTCTCATACTTCAGTTGAAACGGTTATGATAATATTTTTGCTATAAAAATATGTTAAAATAATTGTGTTTTTTTTCACCTATTTAAATATAATATTTATGCTACCTACTTGCCTTTTAATGAAATTACGTTTATTCCAAAACATTATTTTTATTATTATAAAAAATTGTTATAGGTCTCTGTAAATAGTTTTCTAGTAATTAAAACGTGCGAAAGTAATAGCAAGACCCTCTTTTGTGAATAGTTTGCCAACCATAATTAAATCGAAAACGAAAAAATAATTAAATAGCTTATGTATAATAATTATGGTGTGTATTATATTAATATTGTTTGAATATATTTAATTTAATCAAACTAGCGACCGACAACAATTTATTACTACATAATAATATGATGTAAACGTTCCGCGAGGTACCTAAAAAAAATTATGATATATCCCTGGCTGTGTGTCTGCGTGCACTCAAATCGGTCGTAATCAAAGATCAATTTGAGTAAACGCGTAACTAATTGATAATGGTTCAGGCAATGGACAGCAATATTTTTTTCGTTTTCTGTTTCGAGGTTTAAATAGTGAAAAAACAAAAACCTATTCTGCCATCTGCGTATAATATAATACACGACAGCAGCTAAACGTATAATCGATATTTTGTATTCGTTTCCGGTTCGTCAAAATAATAATACATAATATTATTATGTTATGTAATAGCCGCTACAGGTATTTTGTAACAACAATGACATCAGTTATTACGTGAACACTGCGAATCGAAAACTCCACTACAAACCGTGTTTGGCGTACTGTATAAGTCTGTCGGCTGTTAATAATAACGGTGCGGAGATCGTTGAATTAATTTTACACTCGACCCTGAATGAGCTCCCACGACCTTGGACTTTAACGAGACCACCATGATGATATTATACCAGAGTCGCATTTGTAATATTATAAACGTTTTACAAACATGCGTACAATATGTTTTGGTGCGTGTTAAATTCATATTTTCTGTGCGACTTTTAACCTATATGAAGACGAAAAAAAAAAAATTATAAGTGCGTACTTGAATTTCATTTAAAGAGTACCAGTAGGTACCTACTATACTGTATGGCATAATATACATATGCAAATAATATAGTCTGAATGCATCAGTTTTACATTCTGCACACAGAGTTTAGAATAATACTCATGTACGAGTGTACATTTTGCGCTGCAGTTGATGTACCTATTGGCTAAGTACCTACCATTGAGTATTATACTATAGTGCAAAATATCACAGAGGGATTTACGACTTTAATTTTTTAACTTTGAACGAACAAAAATTTGAATATGCAGTCAAGTACAATATAATATCCGAGGTTTAATATGGAACGGTGATTATTTGAGACGATTTTATTTTACTTCGATCTGGTTGGTTAATGGTTATCCTAATAGTATATGAAGAATCTAATAAGATTTGACTCCTCCACTTGTGAACTCGTATTCGATTTTGTTTTTTTTTTTTCAAATTCGTTCCACACAACGAATTTAATTACAAATATGTTATAAACAAATATTAATTTATTGAAACGTTGAAATGTAATCTGCTATCGACCCTACGGCTTCTTAATTATAATAGTTTTAAATTTGTCAACTAATAATAATAATTTAGTGTAGATAAACATAATTTATTTGTTTTTCGATTACCATTGTCTACTCTATCATATTATTATAATGTTGTCTTACGGTTTTTGATATTTTTATGGTTATTAAAAATGAATTCAATGTTGATAACAATTTATTTAATGTCTCATTATTTTGCTTATACGTGAACATGGTATATTTGTTATGGAAAGTTAAACTTATAATAAGCATACCATTTATCTATGGATATAATTGGCTAAACATTTCTACAAATAAGTTTTTATTTGTAAAATATGTAAAGTTCGCAAAAAAAATAAAAATTCCTTTTAGAAGCTGTCACGAAAATTGACAGTAAAAATAATTTAATAATTTCTCTCTCGTAGATTTTTAATATATTTATAATACGATAATCAAACGTTTTTAATAAAATCATATCTCTGCAGAGTTAAAAATCTTGTCATTTTAATATTATGCTTATTACATTTATAAGTACAGTGACTACTATAACCTTTTATAAGTATATAACCCATTTTCAAAATATGACGATGACAGTAAAACCGTTACTGTAGCATATTATTATATTAAATTTATATACCATTTGTAGTATACTGTGTGCAAAATAATCTCATTTATTTTTTATACTTCGTCGTGCAATGGAAATAAATAAAATCGCACTTATATTATTAAATTATGTTTTTGTTACAAAAAAGCAGCCGTCAACAGTAATATCATACTTTATGATTTTTATTAATATTTCAAAAATATCATGCAATGAAACAATGAGGAATAATTTGTAACGAGCGATAGTCGTGCGACGGGTCTTCAGCCACCACGCCGTCTCGGCAGACCTTGTTCAATACAATTCTTAGATTCTGATAATATCACTACACGGGTAAGGAAGTTAATTTTTCGTGATTGAAGGGGATGAGAAAAAAAAACACTTCGGGCTCTTTTGTCGAAACTGTCCAATACTCGGGAGGCGTGTAGTTATGTTAGTATACTTCTGACGATTCAGCGGGTTTTGATTAAATTCAGTCGTCGTTTAGTGTTTCCGATCACGTTTATATTATAGCCAGTACTACGCATACTTCCAGCTAATGGTTTATATTATACAGAAATGCCGAGTCGGTCGTACGATACACAGACACATCCAGAAATTGGACTGATAGTTCACGATCTATTCCACGGGGGTTGATTTTTTTTCCAAATATACTTTCCGAAGGGATTGGAAAAACCTACAAATATATTTAAAACGATTTGCGTTCCATAAAAAGTTTCTTCCCTCGTCGGGTCGGGTATCGAAAACGATCCTCGGATATTGACGCTCGCATTGTTTAATAGTCGCCGCCAGCTTAAGTCGGTACATCAGTTTTGTAAACGCTCGACAGATCAAATATTTGCTTATATTATAATATATATACTTCCACGCACGATTTCCCGTATATCGGACAGCGTGCACAGTGGCGACGGATCCAAAACGACTTCGCTGAAATTTAATTTCGTTCTCGTGAGAGAGTCAGTGGTGGGGGGGGTCGAGTTGTGACAAACACGGTTTTTATAGTGTCCGATTACGAAATTTTCGAGGCGTAATGATGACAACGACCGTCGGAAAAGGGAATTTCGTTGATTGCTATTTTCATTTTGCGTTCACGTGTTCGTTGTCGACGTAGCTTTTCGATTAATTCTCTTATAATTGACTCCCAACAAATACACACACACTCTGTAGAGCCTTATATCGGTTGGTACAGCTATCAGCTCCAGAGACATGGTACGTCATTTCACGTTTTTCCCACTCCGTCAATATAATATAATCATGAGTGATTTTAACACGCGCTCGACTCGTGTGCCGTACCTAAGACGTGTCCGTTGCCTCAATCAAATTTCTTGTTAATAGTATTATGCTGTTAATGTATTAAATAACCTCGAGAGCGTACTTACAAGTATGTATCTAATATATTTTCAAACATGTTGAATGTATCTTGTAGCTAGTATAATATTATACGTAGATAGTTTGTTTTAAAAGATTTGTCCATCCCTATCAATAATACAATTCGAGTTTTGTTTTAAAATGCAATGAAGTTTATTTTCGTGAAATATTTAAAAAAAAAATCATGGACTAAAAAAAATTGTTATACTATTTAGTTATAACACATAGTTATTACTACTTACTACAGCGAGATATAATTTTTAAAAGTATGTTTACTG